CTAAGGTTAGGAGTTTGTCTGACTGCATGTTCCAGGCAGAGGAGCTCCAATTCAGACACTGGAGCAGCTTTTCTGTGATCATACAGTGTTCTGACTACATGCATAGCTAACAGTACAGACCAGACTGTGCTAAGCGCCATGAGAAAGAAGCAAGGTGCTCCAGGAAAATAGAAGAGATGCCATCTCTTCTATAGGAGTATAGGAGAAATACCATCCGGTTGAGGGACCAGTGAAGGCATCATGGAGGAGATGATATAGAAATTAATGAGCAAGCTGGGTTGAAGGAATAGGTCAGAAGGAATGATATTGTATTCTACCTTGTGTAGAGGTATCTCCCATTAGCTTACTGAGGGCAGGGACCATGTCATTTAACATAATATCACATATCACTTTAAGGTTTACAAGGCATCTTCCATACATTATTTCACTGAAACCTCACAACCATTCTGTGAGGAAGTATACATGTATTATTATCTCCATTTTGCAGAGGAGGAAACTAAGGCCCAGGGACGTTTAGTGACTTGTCCAAAGTCAAGCAGTTAGTATCAGGGATTGAATTGGAATATAGGTCTCTGCTGATTCCAAGTGCAGCACCCTATCTACTCCTATATTTATTTTGTATATACAGAATATATGTGATAACCTGCCTTCCCTGAGTAGATGACTGTGGGCACAGTTGGTGCTTAATACATTTGTTGAACTGAATTGTCAATACGTACACACATATGTACCTATGTGTGTGGGAGGGGTAGCTCCAGATCATCCTACAATTTAGGAAGGCTTTGAGATAAGGTTGGAGACTGCTTGCATGTTCTTTTGAGCAAAGAAAACTCTAGTTAAGTCCAAAGAGGCTGATTACAAGAAGATTGGCTAATGGGTTTTTGTTTTTGTCTTAGTAAGTCATGAAGGTTATTGATCAAGATGCAGAGGGGCTGCTTGCTCTTTGTGTCAGTGTCAGGAAAAGGGTCCCACACAACTTAGATCCTTAAAAAATTGAAGTAGCTATACAATAGAATTAGAGATATAACTTTGATCTTCAAATTAGAGGGGTCTGGGCGGCCCTTGACAATTGAGACAAGTTGCCCCAGCCTGTCTGGACAGGTACGTCTCACCCAGTTTTATATTTACAACAGCCTCTGAGGGCCCTTCCTATATTGCTTAGGCATCACATATAAACTTCAGCACAATATGCAGCTTTATACCAACTTGAGCCTATATAACTATTTCAAAGCAAACTACCGGGTAGCTAAAAACAACTTCTAACAGCCTCAGATCAAAACAGATTCAAGTAGGTACAGGGTCAGGCTACACCTTTGTTCAAAGGAGCTTATAGAGCATTGCCACCTGTCTGGAAGAGCCATAGACTAAAGCATTTAGGACTGAGGGATTCATAAAATTCAGGAAAGGATCTAAAGGACGTGTAATTTAAAAGTTAGGCTCTACCTCCATGGATATTTTAGGAAAGGCAATGAAAAACTGGGACCTATCAGAAGGGGAAAAAAAACCTGTCACCTTGGTTTGGTTGCAAGAGCTGTTTCTGTGTGTGTGTGTGTGTGTGTGTGTGTGTGTGTGTGTGTGTGTGTGT